AGCAACTGAACTCATAGCATTAGTGCCTAAATGTCATCCAAACCTTTGTTACCTTTCTGGGTTTAAAAACCCACCTGTGTATGCATTTTACCCATCCAAAGAACCTGCAGCTTCTGCCAGACTGGAACTCAGAGCTTTGCAAGTTCAGAGGATGGACTGAGCCCATAAATAAGTATTGTTCTCCTTGATGGAGCAAAGAACTCGGCCATCTGGAATAAAAGTGTTACAAAGGTGTGTAGCAGTAGAATGAGGGGCAATGGTTTTAAACTTGAGCAGGGTGGATTTAGATTAGACATTAGGAAGAAGTTCTTGACTATGAGAGTGGTGAAACACTGGACCAGAGTGGTGGTGGGGAACCCATGCCTGGAGATATTCAAGGTCAGGCTTAATGGGGCTCTGAGCAACCTGCTGTAGTTGGGGATGTCCCTGCTTACTGCAGGGGGGTTGGACTAGATGACTTTTAGAGGTCCCTTCCAGCCCAAAACATTCCGTGATTCTATGATTCAGGATCTTCTAATCTCATGTTAGAAATAAATAATATCTGCCCCAGCACTTCTGTCTGTAATTCAGCTGGGTACACAAGGCATAACCTTGCTGATAAGGAACATTGTTATGATGACTTCAAGTTACTGATTACGTATCTGGAGTTGACCCTGGCTTCCTTTTCATCCTGGTACATAGTAACTGAAGCTGTTCTGGAACAGCTCCTTGCAGCTGGAGTTGTGCTGCTGTCGAGTGGTGTTTGTAAAAGAAAATGATCCTTGTGCAGAAGCCAGCAGCACACAGAAAACCCCTTTGCCTTACTCAGGTGGTTCTGATCTGACAGAATTACTTGGTTAAACAGCTCCTGCCTGACACTTTTACCAGATTTCCCATGGGATCTTACATAATCTCTGTCCTTTATGAGAATGTTGTAATATGTAAGGAAAAGAGGTCATGGGATTCATCCACCCTACTTCTAAACTGTTCCAATGGAAGAACTCATCCAAGTATTAAAAAAATAAATCACACAAAACTCTTAGCAGTGTTATTCACTCTGTCCCCAAGTGACCCAACTAAAATGCCATATATGAATGTGGGAAATAAATATTGTTTTCAGAGCACTTCCAGAGAAGTCACTTCCTTCTGATGGAAGCTCCAGTGTCCTCTAGGACTTGCTTCCCTCTGATGCCGAGCTTCAGGCAGCCACTGCAGCCCAGTTTTTCAGACAGGAGCTAGTCTGTCCCCCAGGCTCCCAGGGCAGGCAGTGGCTGGTGACCAGTTTGCAGATGATCCCTCCATCCTCGGGTGTTCTTTCACCCTGTGCCCCATCTGAAGGCCGGGCAGGATGCCTTGTGGGGATGCAGCTAGCAGGATGCTATGGAGAGCTGTGTTTCCAGATGAAAATCTGCTTAGCTCTGTGGTATTTGCACCATGAGAATCCAACCTAATCATTTTAGTGCTGGTGTGGAAGAGACGTTGGCAAAGTACAGACTTTTCCAGGGCAGCAGAATGTGGGATTTACTGTGGAAGTGAGGGGAGCACATTGTCTGGAGCACTCTTTGCTGAGCCCTCTGGGTCAGTCTGTCACAGCTGTTTGTCAGGGGCTGGACTGTAGCAGCATCTGTCTGCCCAGCCTGCTGCAGCCCACACCCAGGGCAGAGAGCCCCCAGCTCTGCACTGCTCCCCTCCTGGAACGTGGGACAGGGGCTTCTTCTTAGTCCAGGTGGCCTTTCGGGTTGGTTTGGGGTTTTTTGGTTTGTTTCATTTTGATTTTCTGTTTTTTGCCACCTGCTCAGTAGTTGTTACTTACAAACAGCTGGGAGGGAATTGGTGTCAGCCTGGGGTGGGTTGAATTAGTCCAGATGGCCTTTCGGGTTCGTTTGTTTGGGGTTTTTTGGTTTGTTTCGTTTTGGTTTTCTGTTTTTTGCCACCCTGCTCAGTAGTTGTTACTTACAAACAGCTGGGAGGGAATTGGTGTCAGCCTGGGGTGGGTTGAATTGCAATCAAGCCCAAGGTCTGCCCTGCTGAGGAGGCTCCTTCC